CACCCTTCCTCCTTCTTCGCCCCTTTGAGGAGGGTCCCTTCCTTCCTTCAGAAGGTGCTTCCTGGACATGGAGTTTGGACTCCCAAGTCCAGGCTGCCAAAGGACCACTAGTCCTTGTGGCCCTGAGAGAAAAGAGCAATCTAGTATCTCTCAAACGCTGCTCTCAAGAAATGAATACTCCTGCTCACTCATCTCTAGCACAGGAGTCGATGTAAGACTCTCAACGGTTGAATAGAGTTTAGACAAGGAGCCGTCAATTCTCTTCCGACCTAGCTGCAAAATTTTATTTGCTGCTTTTTTGGCCTGTTCCTTATCTTGCACAGCCTGGAGAAAACCAGTCACCCCCAGCCTCTGCGCCCAATCAGCCATTTCCATGTTGGAGGTGAAGTGCACCATTTTAGTGCAGTTCTCTGCAGACGAGCAAGGATAGCAAACACCTTCACGTCCTCATCACATCTGAACCCACTCAGGTAGGTTCGTTGTGCAGTGACCCAATCTGCAACATCCACCTTTGGGTCCTCGCCAGAGAACATGGGTGGAGGTGTTGGCTTGGGTCGCTGCATGTCAAACGAAACTAAGGGTTGTGAAACTGCTATTGATTTGGGTGTAGAGGGAGGAGATGCAGGTCTGGATTGTGGGAGTTGTTGAGAGCCTGCTTGGGAGGGTCCAGCAGATGCAAGATCCGTCAAGGTGGTTGGGATCTTTAAATAAACAAAGATCTGACCCAGTTTGGAAGAGATGTCATGCAGCTTCTTGGAAAAAGTTGAGTGGCTGCTCTCCAGCCTGCTGATCCTCTCGTCCCAGTTAGTAAAATAAGAACGGTGAATATCGTCCTGCAAGAGGACGAATCAGCCATGTCCTTATTGTATTGGTTGGAAGTACCACTCACCCTAATCTTCTCAATGTCTGCGACCAACAATGGCCTCCTTCTAAGTTTGTTGCTTCTTCTTTTATTTTTAGCTCAACCTTCAGAGCCTCAACTGCTTGTCACTGTTGGCGGAGTTTCTCCTCTTGGGCACACAGTTCAGCCTCTAAAGGGTCAAGCGAAATTTGAGGCTTTTCTCCCTTCTCAGTATCCGCCATTTCCACAATTCAGATAAATAATAAAACAATAAAACAAAAGACAGAACAGGTGGTAACAGAAGTTGAGTTTTCTCTTCAGTACTTACTCAATTGCTATCACCTGCCTGGAGAGAGAAAGTTGGTCAATCTGAGCAAGTGAGTGCTCAGTCTCCGCAGACCGCTTGAGGGTCAGGGTCAGTTTAGAGTGAACTCAGCAAAAATCCATTTCACGATTTTCCAATCACTGCCCTGACACAACAATTGCATGCAGTAATTGTAAATCCTGCACCAATAACTTGCAGGATGCAGTCCTGGACTGATTAGTATTAATTAGCAATTAGACAGAGTGACTAATTAGAGATAGGCAGGTGTTCACTAATGACCAAGGTGCAGCGATTTACAAGTAGTCCTATTTTTAGACCTATCCTACAGACTTCACCACTGTATGACCCTGTATGTCATACCCAGGGTATGGCGAATTACAGATTTCACTATAACTGACTCAGGACATCAAATTTGACTGTGCGATTTTATACATTGACTGTATACTGGATTGCAATTTACCAGGGACTGATAGAATTGAATTATGACAGATAAAATTGAAGTTATGACTAACCCTAGCCTAACCAAGCTCCAACTATGGCAGCGCAAAATTCAAATTTGCATTATCACTGATAACAAGACCCTGAATACACCAATTCACTACACAGTATGAATCACAATACTGTAAAGCAGTCACAAATGGAATTCAAGTCAGGAAGGAGGTCAAACAGGGTTAGTAGAAGTTAAAGAAGAAAGATAGGAGAAATTGGATATGAGTGTCCCACCGTCTGAATTTCGAGTTTCAACTGTCAACTGACTGAGAAACCATATTTCATTAATCTAAAAATAGCCCCAAAATCGCCACACAAAATAGAGTAAGGAACACACTTACTTTAGGGTTATCTCTGAAAAGGATGTGGCTATGGTTGTTTGCTCAACCCCATCTCGCCATTTTCATCCGCTGATCATTCCCAGTGTTCCCACGCACCAAACTTCCTGAAACTTGGTAATCCAGCAGATTACCCTAAGGCACTTCACCCCCAACTGACAGAAACACTGAATTCGGATTCCCAGATTTTGATAACTGAGAAACTCAGTGCAGCACCACTGCACCCTGTACTGCGCTGCTTGGAAATTGGGAATCCTGACCCAATTCCGAAATCGCAACACCCTGGGATCCCTTCTTTGCCAATCGCCAGTCTCCAGATGAATCGCCAGGCTAAAAATAGCCTCTCAGAGCCTCCCAAGCCTTTGTACACCAATCGCCAACCACTCCTGTACAACCCTAGACAGAAGTGTGTCACCCTCTGTCCAATTCCTCTCGCCACACACTCACCACCACCACCCTCACTGTCCCAAACCCTGAAGATGACAAATCGCCATGATACTCAACTCCAATGTCTCGCCAGATGATGGTCGTTGCTCCAACTCATCAATCGCTCCAGGGTCTGGATCAAATCGCTCCGATACCAACTGTTATGATTCTGGTTCTCTTGTCTGAAGACCAACACTCACTCACATAGACTCTCAAGTATGCCCATACATACACATAAGGAAGGGGAAAGGATAGGAGTACCACACCGCACAGGGAGAGCGAAACACAGCGGAAGACTTGACCACGCGATATAACAAGGTACACTGAAAGTGCAATTCACTCCACTCAATCCTCACAACTAGTCATAAAGGAAAGTCGAGTAGATGACATCCAAGAAACAATGAAACGATGATAGTTTGAACTCAGTATCAACGTTGTTTATTAAACTCAAAGTCTCGAATTGTCAAGATGACCTCAAAACTATGATGCGCTGCTCAGATATGAGCAGCGCTTCACTCCCCAACCCTGATGAACCGCTATTACTACCCCCGAGTCCCTGTAACATCAAGCGCCACCTAGATACAGCCTCCAGAGGGAAGCGCCACCCTGAAACAGACCTCTGAGGCCAAGCGCCACCTAGAGGATGAAAAAGAAGACCAGCGCCACAATGTCTGAAGAAAGTGTCGAACGACTTCCCCGATGGAAGTCTGCGGCTGCGCCACCTCTCTTCACAAGATGATCTCTGAGGAAGAAACTGCAGCTATGGCTGCAGCGCCACAACCTTGTAACCCTACCCCGGAGGAGGGTCCAGCAGGGCACCAACTTCTCAAGCCTCCAGCAGACCTCAAATAGCCCAGACCTTTGTACAGCCCCGCGTGCTGACAGAGTACAGCGCGGGTCCCAGGTATGGTCGGCGCTTCGCAGGTCTGGCTCTGCCTGTCTCCCTCAACGTTGAGCCGTCACCACTTCCAGTTCATGTGTTATGCAGCAGCGATGTACACGGTACCAACTGCCAAAAAGCCCTGAACCGATGTGCCCATCCTATCTATAGTCTTCTCTAGCCTAGACTCGACCTAGACCGGACTGACTGACCGACCGGTACCATTTCTGCCTCGACGTCTAGGGCCTCTCCCTACAAGGCTATAGGCCATAGGACCGTCTATCAGCTTAGGCCCATAGGGCCTGTCCGTCTTAGGGCAGCCCGGGTCTGCTATTCGCATATAGGTTAGCTGTAGGAAATTCGGTTAGCACGGGCCTATACTGTTCCCGAATTTGCAGATATGTCCCTCTAGGATTTCCCTACGGGCAGGTCTCGCGGTTAGCCCTCAGCCAAACAAAAATCATGAATCTAACCTACTTTGTACAGCCTTGACGTCAGAGGCTACAGACCGTCAGAACCAGCACGTCATTGCACCACCCCGCTGCCACCCAGATGTCAGCGAACTATGAACTGATAGCTGAGATGGGTTGACCCACATATGTGAGTCTGTGACCCCAGATCCCGCATCAGATGTAACCCAGTGGGTTGCTAGTTCTCCACTAGATCATGTCCAGTCAGGCATCCAGCACTCCTCGGTGGACATCCCTACTGTTAATCTACCATCTTGGGGGTAGGAAAACGATGCACCGGACAGGGTTGTGAGGCAGCCCATGAGGGGATGGTACTCCCTGCTGGGAGTGGAGGAAGAGAGGAAGGGGGCAAGGGGGGCGAAGGGTGGGGAAGACAGGAAGGCACGAGGAAGTGAAGGGAGGGGAGAAAGGTTTCAAACACAAGTGAATTATGCAGTGGACGGGGTTATGAGGCAGGTCAAGGGTGTATAGTGCTCCCTCCTCGAAGGGGGGAAGGAAGGAAGGGAGGAAGTAGGAAATGGGGAAAGGGGGAAGGGCGAAAGGGGGGGAAGGGGGGGAAAGGGTGAAAGGGGGAAAGGGAGAAGAGGGGGAGGAGGAAGGGAACGAAGGAATGGAAGGGAAGGAGGAGCGGACGAGGGAAGAAGGAGAGGAGAGAAGGGGAGGGATGGGAAGGGGTGGGGTGGGGGGGAGAGGAGGAAAGGAGAGAGCGGGTAAGGGCAAAGGTTCTCAAGACCCAATGCATCCTCACATGCACTTGTTCCTTGATTTTCATTCTCAAAAGGGCATGTGCCGGGAGGGGGGAGAGGAAGGGAGATGGGATATAGAGGAGGGGAGGGGAGGAGAAGCGGGGTAAGCCACATTTTGATTGTCCGGAGTTCAATTATAAGAAAAGCGAGAAAACACATGCATGGCTCAAAAGGACAGATAGACAAGTTAGAAAACGTCATGCATGGCTGAAACGAACACCACCGACATTTCTTGAAAAAACAGATGCTTTTGCCCACATAATCAAAAGGTTAATTTGGTTAAATTTATGTTTTACATGTGGCCATGCAGCCCAAATATCACAACATCTGCCATGCTTCTGCCCATCTCTGGTCAAAAGGGTATGCATGTGTCCATGTGGCCCATTGGGGTGGGGGGGGAGAGGGGGGGGTGGGGAGGGAAGGGCCAGGAGGGGTCAAAAAAGGACTAAAGAGGGTCGAAAAAGGACAAAAGACTCCTTACGTACCTGAGGAAATAGGGAAAATCGTCAAACGTGACATCTATGTCTTTCCAGTCGATAACTCTCCTACGCAGCTCCTCTCTGTAAGCAATGCCCTCCTTTGAGAGGGACCCTGGAGAGCTCTTTTTCAATTTTTCTCCTTTATGTCTATGTTTCAATTCCCGGCTTTCTCCCTTCTTCCGCTTGCTGCGGTAAGTCATGATGGCTGTGCCTAAGGCGTACGGGAAAGCTGATGCAGCCAAGCCAGCAGCGGTGCCTGCTGCTAATCCGGCCGCCACGGCCAATACCAAAAGGAATGCCTTATCCATGTTGCCTATTGTAACCTTCTCACAACTCCACACACTGCAAAAAACTACAGACTATCTCACCCAACTTTATTGATGTCAAAAAAAACCTCCCCTCCCCCTCCCCCTCCCCCTCCTTCCCCTCCCACTCCCAAATGTCCAAGAACCCTTCCCCTTCCCCACCCTCCCCCTTCCACCCCTTCCCAACGAGCCTCTTCCCTGCTCTCCCTCCCCCTCCCTCCCCCTCCAACTTCGCTCTTGTTTTTCGCTCCTTGATTCTTCTTGATACTTCACTTCATCACATCCACACAGAGTAGCAGATATCAGAGAGAATCTCTGAGAATTGCCAATGCATTGTTAAGTCCTCCACAAGCCAGACAGGTTGCATCCAGCTTGCAAGCTTCATGGTCAAATATTGACATGCCACTCTCCATCAACTTGGCTCCTCTACCTCATCAAACCAATTGACCCCTCAATCAATCAACTAGTCAATCAATCAATTAAACAATCAATCAACCATCTACTGGAATGGCAAACTGAAGAGCTTCAGGATTGTTGTTCTTCACGTGGGACCTGCAACCATGGAAGCCAAAGACAGGCATCGCCCTTCACGGTCAGATTGCCACTCTCCATTCACCCCTCTCTCTCTCTCTCTCTCTCTCTCTCTCTCTCTCTCTCTCTCTCTCTCTCTCTCTCTCTCT